GTGAGCCGCTGATGACAGCTATTAATTTGAAGGGGACTGTCCGGGGAACAGTTCTACTATAAGCTCATGGTCGCTAAAGCGACCATGAGCTTATAGTAGAACTGTAAATGCCAGGTCCGTACGGCATACTGAGCTGGCCAGCCAGAAGCACTTTTGTACCTCCGTATGCCGTACGTCCTTGGCAGCGAAAGGGTTAACCCTCAGGCAGCAATAAAACATAAACAATTCCCCTCCAAACCATACACAGCAATACAAAGCTTTTTTGTTTGTTTTTAGTAGGGTAGGTAAATGTTAGAAAGCACTAGCGGGAACTGGCGGGAAACTAGCGGGACCAAGGTACACCCATCTACTGTCCGGAGAAGTTTGTCCAGAAATGGTCTTCATGGAAGAATTGCGGCCAAACAGCCAAACAGCCATACCTCCGACGTGGAAACAAGGCTAAGTGACTCAACATGCACAAAAACATAGGAAATGGGGTGTAGAAAAATAGCAGCAGGTGCTCTGGACTGGTGGGTCAAAATCTGAAATATTTGGCTGTAGCAGGAGGCAGTTTGTTCATCGAAGGGCTGGAGAGTGGTACAATAATGAGTGTCTGCAGGCAACAGTGACGCATGGTGGAGTTTAATTGCAAGTCTGGGGCTGCATTTCTGCCAGTAGAGTTGGAGATTTGGTCAGGATCAATGAGCTCTTCAATGCTGAGAAATACAAGCAGATACTTATCCATCATGCCATACCATCAGGGAGGTATGTGATTGGCCCCAAATGTATTCTGCAGCCGGACAACGACACCAAACATACAGCCAATGTCATTAAGAACTATCTTCAGCGTAAAAAACAACAAGGAGTGATGGTTTGGCCCCCACAGAGCCCTGATCTCAACATCATCAAGGGTGCCTGGGATTACAGGAAGAGACAGAAGGATTTGAGGCAGCCTACATACACAGAAGATCTGTGGTTAGCTCTTAAAGATGTTTGGAACAACTTACCTTCTGAGTTCCTTCAAAAACTGTGTGCAAGTGTACCTAGAAGAATGGGTGCCGTTTTGAACGCAAACACCAAATATTGATTTGATTTGGATTTCACTTCTGTTCATTTACTTTCCATTTTGTTAACTGATAAGAATAAACTATTAAACACTTTTATTTCTGAAAGCATCCTCACTTTACAGCATTTTTTCACACCTGCCTAAGACGTTTGCACAGTACTGTGTGTGTATATATATATATTTTTTTTTTTTTTACATGTTATGTTCCCCTGCTTACCATATACAAACTCATAATAAAATAAAAGTTACTATTTGAAGTAGTTTGTTACTACAAGGAAAACAAGCCACTAAAACGCCACATAATATAGTGGGTTTCCTGCCAATTATGGCACCAAATCAAAACAATTATCACAAGATTATCCATAAAAAAAACTGATAATTAACAGGAAATGAGGGCATTTCTCATCTTCATACGTTATTAAACCCAATTTATTTCTATCTGTAAATAGGGTATTTTTAGAGTAATTCAAATATACAACACTGAAAAAGCATTTACTATGGTAGGTGATGGCTGTATATATAACCTATAATGTACTGCTGACATAACCTAATTAAAAGGGACACTTAATGTAAACTACATGATCCTCAAAATGACCTATGTAAAACAGATTTAAAGCTGAACTCCACCCCTATGTTTAGTCTTGAGCCTATCCAGCATTATCCAGCTCTTTTCTCCCAATTTAGTTATTTTAATAATAGAGGTTTAGCATCACATGTGGGTGTTACCTAGGAGATCTGTAAGGCGAAGGACTCTTGAGCCAGCACAGAGACTAAGTGATGACAACACTGGTTGGAAAATTAGGCTGGGATGTACAAATTAATATGGGATTCAGAAACCAGTTAAGTCCAATCCAGGAGACATTAGGATTTTTTTTAGTAGCCAGCTCCATTGACAACTAGAGGGAATCTCAAATGTTAGACGCCAGCTGTAAATTGTAAGGAGCTTCCTGGCTCCTGGGATTTGTCAAGCCCTGATTCAAGGTATGTAATAAAAACAGAAAGGTTTTATTTAAAAAATGTAATTAACATTCATGGAGGAGGGAGGGAACACAATGAAGGAAAAGTAGAAGATGATTAAACTTTAGTTTTAACAACATTTATGGATGTGAATAATACAATTTCATGAGATTATAAATTGA